ATGATCCATACAGGAAGGGCAGATTACTAATGTAAGTAATTAAAAAGATTTACATTCTTTAGAAGCATCTCTTTAACTTTCATCCTTGTGAGAACATGGCAAGTGCAGAGTTAAAGCTAGTATGCAAGTGGGGATACCAAGTGTGCACAATGCCACTCATAGCAACAAGCAGCACTAGCTCGGATCCATAACTACACCAGAGTAAACAGCACAAAAAGACATCACCCTTCTGCTTTTGTCACCAAAAGGATTAGCAGGTGGCTAACCTTTGGCAAGTATTTAACTCCCCAGAGACTCCTAAATTCACAAACATACATCACGTACCCTTTTTTCTCTCTTTTTTGATAATAAGATTCATTGTTTTCAAAAGCAATGATTATACAGAAAACTAATAGAATAATAATATAATAATAATAGCTTGGGATTAAATAACACAGTAGAGGAAAAAAGTGTTTCAAGTATACATCCTTTAAAGAATTCCACAAATGAGGTACTTTCACGCAACCAAATCCAGTGTAAAGTTAAATTTACTCGCAATTTCTCTGCCCCGATTCCCAGCTTCATTAAGTCAGTGAGAAAGCTATAAGTCCCAGGGAGCTTTGGATCACATTCCCAGAGTGTGCCTGGCTCTGGGATAGTAGTCTTAGTCTTGCATCACACCAGAGTGATGATGCTAGCACGGAGGACATCTGTGGAGGCCTGAACAGTGGCAATGCATGGTCCCTGTGCAGAAGGACAGCCTGCCCTCACCTGCTAGTTAACTCAGTGTTCTGCCGACTCCCAAATGCCTCATAATAGGCTGTGGCTTGTATAGGTGAAAGGTGATGTTGGGCCAGACAACATTTAACAGTTAAAGCAGCGCTATTGCCACAGTCACCTCAACTGGGTTGGCCCTCTGGCGCTTTAGCATCTCCTAATACCAATCTTTGAGTATGTACGTTTGTTGGATGTAATTCATCAGGATGTGCTATAGTAATCAGTTGTTGCTTCAGTCAACACATCTGAATTTGCATGTTGAGCTACAGAGAAAGCATGGCCATTCCCTTGTCAAATTGTTTAACCTGTAACAATAACTATGGCCTGAGTTCCAGGTAAACAGGTAATCCGTGCCCTGAAACACACAACTATCACCATGGCTTGCTTTTTTTTTAATTCTCTAGCAAAAAACTGCAAGGTCTCCTCTTCTAGTTCTCTGCTTTTCTCTGTTACTTGTCTGATTTTCTAATGCCTGGAAAAAAGGCATTGCCTCAGAGCAGTGCTGAACACCCCCAAGCATCAGGGTGTTACATACTGTCTCCACAGGGCACAGATCACCTCAGCATAGATGCACTTTCCTATGTGCTTTGGCAGTCCCTGTCCCTCACACACTGGCAGCAGGATGGAATTTGTGACACCAGTGAGCTCAATATGGCTCTCCTTGGGACTGTTTGTATAGCACTGCTGATGGTATCGGGGGGAAAAGAAAAACCAAAACCAAGAAAAAGGCTTTAGCAACATAAAGAGCCCAAGGCCAGGTCAGGACTTCTATTTTTAAGCAGTCCCAAAACACTCATTGCAAATGTCACTATGATACAACAGGAAATGTCACTGCTTCCAGCATTATAGAAGCCTCCCGATCTGCTTTTATGTGCCCAGTATGGCCAGGCATTGAAGTGTGCAGGTGAGAAGAGACAAGGCTTTGGTAGAGTTGGCTTTATT